AATTAATTTATGTTCATTTATTGAAAACTTAACTTCAAGAGAAATTCAGTAAAGATAGAATGATAAACTATATGATTTCTAAAACACAATAAAATTTAAATTATGACATATAAATAAAAACGGAAAGAGTACAAAAAGTAATTAATGTAAGCATTCAAAAGAAGGAAAACAAACAATTTAAGCTAAATAACACAGATTACGTGAATATTTATTTGCTACTAGAAAAACATTGAAGAGACTCTAATGTTCTTATCCTTTCAACTATTGTAAATCGAGTTTCCGAGTGAAATATACTTCATCCGTTCATATTTAGTAATCGTCATTTTAGATTTTACGTCCTTTAGAAACTAAGTAAGTTTATCATTATACTCTTATTTAGTATTCTTTTAAAGTCAAGTTTCAATAAATGAACATGAATTGATTTATTTTGAATAACTAATTTGACCAATAAACATGAATTAATTATGTAGCCCTCGCATTGTTTGGAAAGTCACCCTGGTAATTGAATTTGGTATAATTTGGTGTAATTACATTGTTTGTTTTGTTTGATTGACCAGGTAATTACTTAGTCAGCATGTAATTAAGTGTAATTGACATGGGTGATTACACTCTCTAATTAATAGAAAGGAATGTGAATTGTTAGTAATTAAATGGTGTAATTACATGCTGATTATTTTTTAATTTTTTAATTTCTATTTTTTTTGTTTTAACTTATTTTTTGTTTTTATAATTTTAATTTTTTTTATTATTCTAAATGTCAATTTTTATATTTCATTTCTTTCTCATTCTCAACATTTACTTCATGTGATTCCATGTAATAGTTAATACAAAAATTGCATGTAATCACATGAATGAAAGGTTTAAAATGAAAAGGAAATGAAATATAAATAATATTAAATAAAAATAAAATATTTTTAGAAAACATTAGAATAATTAAAATTTAAAATAATTTAAGTAAAAAAATACATTTAAACGAAAAAAAATAAAAATAGAAATAAAAGGAAGAAATAAAAAAGTAATCAACTTGTAATTATACCATGTAATTACCAATAATTCACAACCTCCATTATGTGAATTGGAGAATGTAATAACCCATGCCAATTACAACCAATTACCTGCTAACCAGGTAATTACATTGTCAACCAAACAAGACAAATAATGTAATTACACACAATTACTCCAAATCCAATTACCTAGGTGGTCTTCCAAACATTTAGTTTTTCTATGTTGCTCAAATGCATAGTTTCAAGACTAATTACTTTCAGGAGTAAAATAAGAAAAATAGTGTCGTTTATACATTGGTTTTGTAAAATGACAAGTATTAAAGAAAATCTATTTAATTTTTAGTAAGAACGACATATAAATAGGAACGAAGAGAGTATTATTATTAGAACATTCTATTTGTTCCCATAAATAAATACAAAAAATACTCAAAACATGTAACACATATGTAACTAAAGTCAATTTCAAATAAAGAGTCTATATTTATATTTCATACTTTTTATTTATAGTGGGTAGTATCATGGAAAAAAACAAAACCTTTAATTTTACATAGTAATATAATTGCTAATATTTATATTGGACGAGACTAATTCAAGATAATAAGATATTAGTCATTATTTGTAAAATAATATCACGTAAAAATTTGATAACTAGAAAATAAAAGAGAAAAAAAATCGCCCCCACTCATGATATCAACGTATTCTCTTTTCGCCTTCATTCTTTTTGCCCTCAAATCTATATTTCTGGCCTTATAGGCTAATATTGTTCTCTACAAATATTATGTGCTTCCAAAAGAAAAATATACCATCGAATAAAATTTCACTAAAAAATAAATTAAAAGTAGAGAACGAAAATCAAAATGCCATAATTATTAAAAGTATATATAGATACATATATATATCAACTTAGCTTTATGTGTTGCACGAATTTTTTTAATCTATGAGAGGGACCTAAAGGTCGATACTCTTATATTGAGGTCCCAAAGAGATCCATTAATTGATAATGATAAATTGTCATTTATACTAAAAAAATAAATTATTTATGAATATTAGTTAATTTTATAAATTAAGATTTTTCTTCAATTTCTCTTTTAATACAAATTATTTTAGAATCAAGAGTCAAGTAAATTAACAAACACACTAAAGAATTAATATGAAATATGTTAGTCAAATTACGTTCTTAAATAATTTTATTGAAAAGAGTAATGATTTTTCAGCTTTTTTTTTTCTTTTTTTTTTTTAAAACAAATTTTAAAGATCTAAGTTTTTTTTTTTGAAAGAACGTTAAAATATTTTTGATACTATCGGCTTTGAGTATTATTTAATAAATTGGAGTACAAATGATATGTGATAATATATGAATCAAAGTTTGTTTTCAATTAATTTTTGTATTGTTGATTGAATGAACTAAGAAGAGCAAGAAAGGGTGAAAGAATCCTTCTTAGTTTTGGCAATCATATAAGAATCATAAACAAACTCCTATAATTAATTTAGAGTTTAAGTTACAATACAATAATTTTTTTTAAATATTAGTAATATGTGAACACATTAAAAGAAATAGGTATTTCTAAATATGAATTGACGGTGTAATTTTCTTGTCTACTGTCAGTGGGGATAATTTAATCTTTATATATAATTCTTTTGTAGTCTTGGTTCAAGTTTTGGTGCCTTAAATTTATTGGAAAATATTATTTTGTAAAAAAAAAACTTGAGAATATGTATAAATTTCATATGGTAGAATATTTTTACACTTTTTTTCCAAAGGCATTATGTATTCTGAAGAGAAAAAGATATTTTCTCGAAGGCATATGAATATAATTAATTTACTTCCATGTTTATAATTATTAAAATAATGTCCAATTGAATTTTCACCTGATCGTTTGGTTGATAGATAAATTATATGTAAACTGTAATGCATAAATTATTTTGAGTTAAGAATTAATACTACGGAAAAAGTGTTGTTGAAAGATAAAATAATATAAAGATTGTTATACGATGAATAAATACAAACTCTGAATTATTATACAATGTTACTATTTTTTTTCCATTAATTGTTTGACATTTTCTTTTTAACGACAATCTATAGAAAATGATTCTTCTATGTGGAGTGACTTAAAAATAAGGTTAGCATATGGGTTCTTTTAGATCTTCAATTTTTTATATTATATATTACTATTAAATTATATATAAATTATGCAAGTGATAGAGTAATATAAAGAACTAAACATCGTGTAATTTTCATTCCTTCCCACAAAAGACCTCCAACTATTCGTACCAAAAAGTAATGCACTCCAATCCAAAGTCTAAATTGCCCCTAGTTGAGTGACACTTTACTTGGATTAAAAGAAAGAGTATTACAAATTGTATATTAATTTAAAACATATTATATTATATTTTAAAGCACCAACTCAAATCGCTTGAAAGTAACAACAACAAGATATTTAATGAAATCTGACCAGTGAAGTCTGAGAGATTAGAATATTTGTAAATTTTACTATTATCTAATGAAGGTAAAACGATTGTTTTCATAAGAGCTACGACTCAAGTGTAATAAATCCCAGTATAAAAAAAAAGAAAACAATGAAGAGATTAATACAAAAATAGTCAAAACAACAAAAATCATGTGATGGCGAAATACCATAATTCCATAAACAACAATCTAAGATGGACTATTTATGAAAGAAATTAAAAACAAGAACTAGAGTAATATAACGAGTCATTCTAAGCAAAACAATACTACACTATGTACTACCTTTCTAGTTTCTATATTGATATGTGTCATCTACGCCCTTCTATCTAGGATCATGTTCTCAATAATCTAAAGATATGTCATATTTCCTCTCCTCAATACTTTTTTCGACCTATCTTTACCCTTTTCTCGTACCCTGTATAACCAACCTCTCACACCTTCTCACTGGTGCGTCTACATGTCTCTTCTTCACTTTTCAACTTCCCTATTTTGTCTACCACGGAGGCCATATCTATCTTATCCCATATATCCTTATTTCTAATCTTATCGCTGCTAGTATGACCACACATCTACCTCAATATCCTCATTTCTCCAACAAGCATTTTTCGACATGGGATTAATTTTTTGACTAACCAACATATAGTCTCATAGAACAATATTTGTTTAACCACCACTTTATTAATGTAATTTATCTTTGAGTTTCAAAAGTACCTTTTTATCACACAAGACTCGAGAGGTTAGCCTCCACTTCATTCACACCATCCCAATACAATGGTGTGTCAAGCCTCACTTCCACGCCTATCTTATGCATCACATAGTTAAATTTGAACTTTATATAGTTTATCTTAGTACTGCTCTACCTGAACCCTTTAATATCCAAAGCATATCTCCACATCTCTAACTTATCATTCACTTCATTGTGTGTTTCCTCAATCAATACTATGTCATCCACAAAAAAACATACACCATAACACCTTTTTTTGAATTTCTAAATTTATTTTTTTTATGACAAGGGAAATCCGCAGCCGCTATCCTTTGGATGCGCACAGGGTAAAACCCCCGCTCCTATGCAATAACTCACAAACCACATAGGAGAGGTAACCCGCACTAGGCAAGCCCGATGCGACGAGCCTAAGCCGTTGCTTTCGCTGGCAAGGGGTTTTGAACTTGAGACGACCTCCAACATGGAAGTCCCAAGCCCAAACCACTGGGCCATCCCGGAGGTTTTTTTTAAATTATTATTTGAATATCTTAAATAATTTTAAAAACATCACGTTCATCAAATTATTTATCTTTAATAATTAATTAAATTAACTCTATTTTTTCTTTAAAAAAGCACCTCATAAACTAGACTTAAAAGAGTTTTTTTTTCCTTCCAAATAGCTGAACTTGTATAGTTCTTTAAGAAAAAAGTTATAGTATCATTCAGTATTTTTAATATATAAAATAATAATTTATTAAAAAGTATAATTAATTTTTGTTATTAACTCTCTATTTAACCGTTATCTCACGCTCTTGGTCTTCTCCACACCTCCACTGCCACCTTCTCCTCTCTCTCTCTCTCTCTCCAAACAGAATACACATCTTAACTACTCGGCACCTGCATAAACTAAGCAATCTTTTGAAGCTCAGAAATGTATTCTGAATACTCTCTTCTCTTCATTCCTTCAACTGTTGTGCTCAACTTAGAGCTTCTTTTCTTTTTTCTCCTCTTTCTTGCAGTTTTCGCCTTCTGGCTTACCCCTGGTGGTCTTGCTTGGTCTTTTTCTAAAGCTCGTGTCTCCATTCCTGGACCCTCTGGTTTACCTGTTCTCGGGTTGGTCTTAACTTTCACTGGTTCGTTAACTCATAGACTACTTGCTAAGATCTCTAATGGCTTGAAAGCTGAATCGTTAATGGCGTTTTCAGTTGGGTTTACTCGTTTTATAATATCTAGTAATCCTGAAACTGCGAAGGAAATACTTAATAGTTCGGCTTTTGCTGATAGACCAGTGAAGGAGTCTGCTTATGAACTGTTGTTTCATAGAGCGATGGGTTTTGCACCGTATGGTGAGTATTGGAGGAATTTGAGAAGGATTTCGGCCACCCATTTGTTCAGCCCGAAGAGAATAGCGTGTTTCGGGGATTTCAGGAGTGAGATAGGTAGAAAGATGGTGACCGAAATTGCGAGTTTGATGGAGACTGATGGACATGTTAAGGTGAAAAGGGTTTTGCATTTTGGGTCACTCAACAATGTGATGAAAACTGTTTTCGGTAAAAGTTATGATTTCAATGGAGAAGATGGACGGGAGTTGGAGTATTTAGTCAGTGAAGGGTATGAATTGCTTGGGATATTCAACTGGAGCGACCATTTTCCTTTGCTGGGGTGGTTAGATTTACAAGGAGTTAGAAGAAGATGCAAAGAACTTGTTGCTCGGGTGAATATATTTGTTGGGAAGATCATTCAACAACACAGGTTAAATAGAGTGAAAAATGCTGGAAATGTTGCAGATGAATGTTTTCATGACTTTGTTGATGTGTTGCTTGATTTGGAGAAGGAAAATAAACTCAGTGATTCAGACATGATTGCTGTTCTTTGGGTATTTTTCTATCATTCATCTTGTCCTTCGAATTATTTTGATATTCATTTGTTAGATTTAAAAGTCTATAATTTTATGTGCTTCTTTTTTTAGAATGTGTTTAAGATCGTGTCATACTAAACATAGTTTTATGTTTGGTTTTCATTTGCTTCACTCGTTTGATGGTTATGTGTTTAATACTACTTGATTCTTCTGCATAGATGCTAAAATTCTTTTGTTAAATTGTCTCTTTCTTGTGTTTTGGTGATGAAGAATCTGAATAATTTTAGCTTTAACTAATGCATGATGGCGGTAGTGCTGATATTCCTCAAGTCTTTTTCTAACTGTTTTTTTTTCAGCATCATATCTTTGTTTATTGATTTGGATTCAGCTTTCAATTCTGTGACAAAGAAATAAACTGTTTTTCTTCAGGAAATGATCTTTCGAGGGACCGATACTGTGGCCATCTTGTTAGAGTGGATTCTTGCCAGGATGGTATTGCATCCAGATATTCAAGCCAAAGTTCAAAGTGAAATAAACACTGTGGTTGGAACTGATCGAGCTGTATGTGATTCCGACTTGCCTAATCTGCAGTATCTACTAGCCACAGTGAAAGAGACTTTGAGAGTTCATCCTCCTGGTCCCTTACTCTCATGGGCAAGGCTTGCAATTCATGATACAAGTGTTGGTCACCATTTTATCCCTGCCGGAACAACTGCAATGGTGAACATGTGGGCTATTACCCATGATGAAAAGATATGGTCACAACCCGAAGAATTCATGCCTGAAAGGTTCTTGGAAGAAGATGTAGCAATCATGGGTTCTGATTTAAGGCTAGCTCCATTCGGTTCGGGGAGGAGAGTGTGCCCGGGTAAGGCAATGGGACTTGCTACTGTTCAGCTCTGGCTTGCTCAGTTACTTCAAGAATTTAAATGGGTTCCTTCTGATAATGGCGTGGACTTGTCTGAGTGTTTGAGATTGTCATTGGAAATGAAACAACCTTTGATTTGCAAGGCTGTTTCTAGGGTTCATTGAAAGCTTTTTTTTTGGTTGGTTTCTATGTGGTGTTGGATTGTTAGCGCGTTCTGCTGGTCTTTCTTGATCTCAAAAAATGAATTTTGTCTCCTACAAGTGATCGATCAGACTTGTTTATAAGTAATGCTATAGCCGTAGTAGTACTTTTAAGTTCGTCGTAGGGGTGATGAATGATAGTTTAAGCAAAAGGTTCCGTTCACTTGGCCCCTTTATGCTAGGAATTTGTTTGTTGTCTTTGGTGTGGTTCTTGCAAGTATGCACTGTACACAGCTTCCTTTTTGCATATCCAAAGCAATATAATTTCTATGTTTCTTATGATAGACTAATCGTGTTCCATTTGCTCTTTATGCTACCTTGCTATAATCTCCAAAATCTAGTTTTTAGATCTAATGTCACATGTGAACTCATTTGGTTCTTAACTCTTTTGTGTAAACTTTGCTATATTTGTGTAAACAGTAGCATGCAAGTGTTCACGGCTAAGATAATTATGCTATTCCATGTTTAGTTGTTTTTTCTTCTGTATTTGTCCTATATTAACACTTGTAAATCTAGGGGGTGTTGTTTCTTGGTTCTTGCATTGTCTTGTTATACATTTGGTAGATGAGAAAAGATATTTAACAAGGTTTCATATTATGACCATTAACTAATTGTAATCCGTTTTAAGTAACTGATGAATAGTGATCAATTGTTATCACGGGTACTAAGGTAGTCATCATATTACTAAATAAGTATACGTTTCAAATTCTCATTAATTATCATGTGATTAGTGTCTAGCAATAGCAGTTACTCTTAATGACAAAGATATGAGAATCCAAGAAATATATACCACAATTAATCTAGATGAGAAAATAATAGTACATGAATTATTACTCTTTTGTTTTTAGTATGACACAAAATATTTTTCACCAATAGTATTTAACTATATGTAATGACATTTATTATTATTAAATACTGATTTTTAATTCAGTACTTAAAAAGTTAATTGTCAAATTAAATGTTCTTATTCATTTTTTTAGTATAATACATCTATGAGTAAGTTAATGCAGTATTCTTTTTTGTGGGAAACGGGAAGGGTAATTAAGTGCAGTAGTAGTTATTTGTAGCATGTGAGAACTCTGCTTGGCAGTGCTTCTTCAGTTTAATTTGTTTGTCTAGTTTTTTCCAAGTGTATTCTAAAAAGAATGTATCTTCTCATTGATAACTTTTTAATTCTAAATCAATAATTTTCTTTGTTTACGTAGACTTTGAGCTAGTAAAAAAAATCTAACAAATAAATTAAAACAGAGAAAGTATTGTTGTTTTCATACACAATTAGCTATGATACAAACAATACGAGTTGTTTCTATTCTAATAAAACATATTTAATATTATTCATATTCTAATACACTCTAATCATTTTAATATAACAAATCAAATAGTCAATAAAGAAGTAATGTCAGTAATCAGTATTTTTATACACTCTACAAAATAAAGTTTGAGGAGAAAATAAGTAGTGGTAAAAATCCATTTAAATGTGTATAACATCACGAGAGTAATATACCTTAATCCATGTTGAGGAAACAAGATCCTCATAAGATCTACTTAAATATAAACAAAAACCTTTTATACTCTCCTAAACAATTTTTAAACCCTTTTATACTCTCTTAAACATCTAAAACTAATGATAAATTGTGAACTTGTCCCTTTTATCAACTTTATTCTTGTTAGCTTTATTTTGTGCTCTCTATTAATTCTTAGCTAGAAAGCATTGCCTTTTGAAATGTTAAAGTAAAGCAAACAAACTACTGAGATTCTTTTAGCGCTCTCTATTGCTTATGGGAATTTTGGTTTATAATCAGATAATAACAAAACAACAATGTGCTAGAGAAACAAACAAATGATTGAGGAATAAAATTATATATGGTATATAAATCTAAATCCTAACTAGCTATCTATATATAAAAAAATTGTACTAGTTACTAGAATATTTTTTTCTTTCTATATAATTATATATACACATACATAATAAAGCTTTTCTCCCTTTTCACATTTGTTTATATAAAAAGAAAGATGCATTCAGGATTTGAATATCCAATATTCACTGTTTTTTTGTTTTTTGTTTTCACCATCCAAATCAAATGCAACCTGCCTTAGCTTCTTCTCTTTTTTGCCATTAATTCTCATCTTTTTTTTTGTTTTTCACCTGTGTTTCGAGTCCACATTGAAGTCCCAACTAAATTCGAATCACACACTGCAAAGCTCATATATATGGCGGTGACGCTCCTAATGGAATTTCATCTTTTATTTATTCCTTTCACCTCTTCCATGAACTAATAATGTAGTGCCCATTTTTGTGTAATTTATCACGTCCACGTTCAATAATGAGTTGGCACATGATTCGTAAAACAGACAAACTAGAATTTTAATCGTTTTTTTGACTATAGAATTCAACCACAGTTTATTTTGTTTATCAATTGGGTTCGGAATCTATTATTTATAATCGGAACCGATAAGAGGGTCAAGACATTAAAACAAGTCCGGGATTTTGGAATTTTAATTATGTATTTTTTACGCTCAGTATTCGATATTTGTATTGACATCCTCAATTAATTTCAAATTTGTGTTACACAAGATCGATTAAAGAGGGAAATTCTCCTTGGAAAGATTTTTTCCTTTATGAGGCTAGAACCGGCCAAGACCTCTGGCAAAGAAGTATGGGACCCAATTTTTCACTCCCTCTAAACCCTTACTATAAGATTATTGATAACTTCATATTTCAGAAAGCTAAAAGAAATATACTTAATAAGAATATATATGATTTTTCATAAAAAATAATAAGACCCTCATTAAAATTTGATTTTAAACGACCGATCTTATTGAATTGCCTTTGTTTATAGTTATTTAATGAATATTTTTAAGCATGTGTACGGGGTTTGAGCCAAGCTATTGATTTTGAATGAATCTATAATTTATCTTTTACAAATCGAAAAGAAAATATCACATTAATTAGCTTTCATATTTCTTTTCCAAAAGAAAATTTTAAAAAGGAGAATACATTGAGTCAGTGTTTGGTTATGATCCACTTGTTATTTAACTCAATTCATTTTAATTGAAGAAAACTTAAAAAGACTCGAAACATGAATTATTTATTAATTTAATCGCCAACACGTTCATTTGACACAATTACATTGGCTGTTCATCAGCACTACTTATTAATCTTGTGTTTCTCATGGTGTACTAGCTACATGAAAAACCAAACAGCATATCCGTACATAAACTTTGTCCAAGAACGTGTATGGTTGGGATTTGGGATGATATATCAAAATTTGGATCTTTCGATAAAAAGATATGGCTAAAAGCTTGATAAAGAAAGAGGAATATTGTAAGGAAATATGGCATCTCTGATTATTTGTTACTTTTGGTATGTGTTTGATATTTATTTTGAATTCCGATTAATATTGTGATATGAATTATATGATGATGTAGGAATTGCAAAGGGAAGGGAATATATTACATATATCATAAGTGGACAGGGAAGAGTAATTATTCCTTTGACCACCAATAGTGTTTTTTCTTCTTTATATTTTTTTTTTTTGTATTTACAACTTCTCTTCCAAGTTTTCTCCTTTAAAATTTGTACTATTAGCTACCTACACCACATAATTTGCATGGATTCTCTCTTGGGACTGTGTTGATTATTTTCTTACTTTATTAGATTTGTTAAGGTTACCTTTGTATTTATTTAATATTATAATATAAAGTTACAACATGACTAATAACTTCAAAGGAATTATTAAGCTCAAATTATACTAATAGTTCTTTAATATATCCAGGTTAGATAAGAAGAGCCTTGCTAATTAATATGGATGGACTATGTTGTCTATTTGTCAACTGTTTTAGTGCAAATTAAATAGGCTAGTTATGCATATATATCCGTTCGGCCAACTACTTTATCGACATGATCGAAGTGTATATGTTGTATATAAAAACGTACATATATTTCATAAATTAGTTGATCAAAGTGTTTAAGACAGTTAATTTTCCAATTAAATTTTAGGTGCTTAATCCAAAACTACATCAAAAGGTTAATCAAGATGTTAAGAGTGATTTAATTGAAGAAATTAAGTGGAACAATAGCCACCGTGATGTCTTCTCTCCATTATTTGCTTTTTTTAACGACGAAGGCATGATTTTCATCTCAGGGTTAATATCGACCTATTTTATTTTAATAGAGCCTCGACAATGACTATTTCTCAAAATTAAGGTGGGATTTTAATTTTTAAATCAAAGTTGGGGATGAAAATGATTTTCACTCATTATGTCAAAGAGACCGATTCAATAATTTCTCTCTATATACATATAAAATAATTTATATTTATTCTATTTGTGTAAGTATAATTTTCAATGACGTGCACCCTTAATTACATTGTTAGTGAATATAAGTTAAAATTCTTTGTTATTTTGTTTTTTTACGAGTGGGGTTGTGTACAAATATTCGTACAAAATATCTAGTGTACTTTTTTTTTCGTTTTGGAGGCAATGGAATAGCATGAATATGGTAAAAAATCAAATAATGGAAAAGTTATTTCCCTTTGGAATGTAATGTGGAGAATAAATTCTTCATTGTGAAGTTACTCTAAACGATAAACACACGACAATGAGAAGTGGTAGTGAATATACCACATAATTTAAAAATATGGGTACATCCAATCAAAATGAAGAGGCATGGCAATTATTATATTAAAAAGTGTTTAATACTTAGCTGTATACTGATTCTGCTGATGATCATGAATTTCAAGCACATTTCTTATCATATTTTTATGAAGTTGACAGTCACTTACTTGTGGGATGCCCTATGATGATGATTCTCAGCCTCATCTTGGACCCCATGATAACTTGTTGCATGTACTATATATCAATTTATTAATTCAGAATCCGTAAGGATGGTTAAGTTGGTGCAACATGTGATGGAGTAAATATAAAGAAAGTTAGACGTTAATTCTTTTAGTTGATCTAGTTAGTTGCACATGACTTATCTAATACAGTTTACATCTTGCATGTGATTTGTAAGTTATTACACATAAACATATTTAATAATACGCACCCGAAGAATAGGGACGGTAGAAAAAATAGTATTAATTTATCTCTTGATCCCTTATCTCAACAAATATGATACTATTCATTAATGAATTATCCCCACCTCATATAATTAAACTAATTAAGGGTCATGTAAATATGCGTGTGTTGTCAAAAGAGCCACAAAACGAGGAAATGATTTATTTTTTTTACGCTTACAAATTGAATAAAAGAAAATGATAGTACCAATTGAATAAAATAAAAA